GTAAGAATTATTTATCTGTCATTGATCATGATCTGTCATCATGTTAACCTGATGTTTTGTATGTTATTTTGATTTTTTCGAGGTTTTTTTGCTTGCTTGTTTTTGCGGATAGGTGCAATCGCATAATTATTATTGATAAGGTTTTATTTAATATTAACATTACTACTTTTTCAGTGAATCTTTAAATCTGTTGTTTTTTTTAAGTTCGTTATTTAAACATATGTATGTAATACACTCGTATTAACACTAATCATATTTTTACGTTTTTATTCATCATTTTCAATGCCCCCCCCCCCGGTTGCATCTTTGTAAAGGACTGTGAATTTTTTTAAATGGAAACCATAGTTGGCCATGACTTCATAAAAAGCGCCATTTTTAAGCTTTTCAGCGATATAAGCTATAATATGTTTTCTTTGAAAAATTACTGAGTTATAGACAATTCTTATCATTTTTAAACAATTTAACTTAGTTAGCCATGGAAACAAGTTTAATCGCCTTTGCTCTCAGAAATGTGAAGCTGTCACATCCAATCTTCGTAAATTAAAATTACCAAAAATTGTAAATATGAATTTTTCAAATGAAGAAAAGCGTGTAGGATTATTGGTTCAACTTTTCTTGACCATACATTTTCGAGGATACATTGACCGGTGAATGTTACGTTTTTTAGAGAACGGTTTTCAAGACATGTTAGGAAAGTTAAATTTAGTTATAGCCAATTTTTATCTTTTTTGACTAATTTCAATAAGATTGCATGGTATTCTTATTCTGTTATGATTTATAACTTATAACTAGTCACAATATATTACTAAACGGTTCCTTACAATTTACATTGAACAAACTAAAACTTAAAAAAATAATATCACTGCATACACTTTAAGTTATTTTAGAAAATGTTCCGCCATTGTTTTGAGTTGTATCTTTTTAAAACTGAATTACTACCTATTCTCATAAAAGGACCGGTCGACTTAATTAAATTTCTCTAGTACGGCCACTCGAGAGCAACGACGATTGAACTTGTTTCCATGTTTAACTAAGTGAAATTGTTTAAAAATTATAAGAATTGGCTATAACTCAGTAATTTTTCGAAGAAAACATATTATAGCGTATATCGCTGAAAAGCTTAAAAAATGGCGCTTTTTATGAAGTCATGGCCAACTATGGTTTCTATTTAAAAAAACATATGTTTGTGTCATATGTCAAAAATGACAGGCTATAGAAGAAAACGGAGGACACAGTCTCATAAAGAATGTGATTATCTACAATTTTTATCTGAAAACTTTTTGTCTAAAATAGCTTATAATGGAATTAGGAACAATTTTTAAAATAGCCGAAATTTGTTTTTTTCGAAATATCTAGTAAACCATGAACTTTTTTAAAAATCTGAAAGGCGCATATTTATGACTCCACAAAACTGCAATTCTTTCCCCATTTAACCGACTCTCTACCTCCAGTAGTTTCCGAGATACCCATAGAGAACATCGTAGGAAACTCACCCTGTATATCTTTGAAATACCTCCTGGTTGTGAGACCTTAATGAACGATTTGTTAATAATCAATGAATGAGAAATAATCAGTACTACCAATCAATTGATTTTATTCGATGATTATGCTGCTGAAGATGATAAGATCCTACGGACTCTACATTTAACAAGCCTAATCTCTGAAAAAAACTCGATATTCTCCACACACTGAAGAATCAACTAATTGAAAATCAACCATATCTGGTAATTGACGAAATCAGCAAATATCCAAGCCTGCAAGTACGACTTTTGTACCTGGTAGTCATTATCTCTTGCATCTACCTGATGTACAAGAAGTTCTCCAGATGTTAACGTAACGTTAAACCAACACTTTCGAGAAGTATCCAGCCACCCCCTCAATCGCCATAGATGTATCTAAGAATGGAGGATTTATATTGTGTATTTTTATAGAAGTGCTTAATAGACATTATACAGGGTGTCCCAATATTTCGATATTTCGTGGACATAGAACTACTGTGTAATTTTGGAATCAAAATAAGTTTATTGAGCACAATTTACCTATATACAGAAGCGCTTCGTTTGTTCGTTAGAGGGCATCAAACTTTAATAAAATAAACATTTTTTAAGATATTTTAAGAACCGATTTGAATGAGATTTGGGGACCTATGTTATGGTAAGTGCTTTATCATTTGACATTCTCAAAACAGGAAGGGTGAAAACTACCCCCACCCGTACATACATTTTAATATAAATATTTTCCAACCCCACCAACAACCGATTTTTTTTCGTAAAATTCTCCTAGTATTTACTACACTTTTTGTCTATAAAAACGCCACTACTTTTGAGGAATTTTTTACTTACAACACTTTTTGAGGATTTCTTTTCCAAAGCTGACTTTCAAAAAGTGTTTCCTGTCACATCAAGAATTGTACGCGCATAAAATCTATTAGGGTAAACCAACCAGTGAATGAATGTGACCCAGTTAATGAACAAAATAACTTTATCTTGCTCTAATAAGGTATACGGCCATTAAACTCTATTTGTTGTCCTTTTTTAATCTAATTTACACTGCGTAGTTTACGACTAACTTGCTAAAATACAACCAGTTAATAAACGACAAGTGCAAATCGCTGTTCAAAGTTGTGGTCTGACGTTGTTAGTCTTTTAAGCGCCATTTTCTTTAGGGTAAGTAGATGCATATCCTATTATTAATGATGGTATTTAATTGTTCATAAAATATAAAAGCTTGGCAGTGTGTGAGAATATATATTTCAACAATTCATCGTTATTAATCCTAAAGTAAAACATCTATTATCTTTTAGGTTATATTTTCATTTAATGTGTTTAATAACTGGCGGGAAAAAAGTTCAAATTCCAGTGAATGAATGGCTGTTCATTTACTGGTATTTTATTCGATTATCTGAAATTGCTTTAAAATGACCCTTAAGCTTTGTTTACATATGTAAATCCATTAAAATACCTTAAATGCAATCAAAATAAATGCCAGCCAGTAAATGAACAGGATTTTGAATCGTTTACTTACTGGATATTGTTCCTGTTCATTTACTAGATTAGGCATAAGACCTTTTTGCAAATGATTTCTGTCTCTTATTATTAGGATAAGTGGCACTAGTTTTTGTTTTGGAGGTTTAATTTTTAGTATTATAGTTTTATTAAAAGTATTCGGCGGTTACTAAAAATAAATATTTTTTGTTGGTACAGATGGAGCGGAAATACACTAGATTCAAATATTCCAAAGAGCAGTTGTCACTGGGTATCAGAGCAGTAGAATCAGGCAGCATGAACTTAAGTGTGCCGCTAGGCGATAACTTCAACAAAATGGGTAGAATTTCATCAAGAACAAGATAAAATAAAGCGTCAAAAAGAGGAAGACATTAAAAAAAGAAAACTCGATAGAGAAAGAAAGCGAATGGAACAAGAACGAAAAAATAAGATCAGGCGACAGTATGAAATAAAGAGACCTAACAGAGACTTGAGTGAAAACCTGTCACTTTTTGAATTAAAGCTAAAACAAGAACAAGAAAGAAAAACATGCAAAAAACAAGAGAAAAAGTCAGAAAAGCGGAAGTGTGATAAAGATCAGAAAATCGGGCAGCAGTATACAAAATGGTTTAACAGAGATGATTCCTCAAGTACGGATGAAAATCTGTCACTATTTGAACTGAAACTACAAGGACAAAAAAAGAAAACATACGAAAAACAAGAAAAATGGTCAGATATGACGAAGCGTAATAATGCTCAAAAAATCGAAGAATCGGACGAAGAAGGAACTAAGAATAAAATTTCCCCTAAATTGTTATCAATAAGTTTAGAAAAATCAACATCAAATTTTGACTTAAGTGTTCCTTTTGTTAAAGGTGATTATGTCTCTAAACTATGAGGATTCACATTATCCTGTCCTAATAAAGGCTGTTAAAAATAATGAATATAAAGTTAGTGCTCTCCATAGTACATTTATTTATTTATCGTATGGCAAACACATGGTACAATAAAAGTAATATGTATACAAATATACACAAAAGAATATAGAAAAACATGTACAACACTCAAAATTATAAACAAAATATATACACTGACAGAGGTAAAGATAAAAAACATCCATAGTAAAAAAAAGAACACTTGGAAGTGGCCGTCACCACCTGATCAAAGTTGGTATTACTCGGATAAAATTGTGAAAAAAATTGCTGTTCCAATACCTCATAGCGCTGAAGGGACTTTTGTTATTAATATGTAAATGCAGCCATAATGTTTTTTATATTATACTCTTACCTGATTATGTTTATTAAAAGCTTATGTTTATTTAAACTTTAATTTTTGTAAAGCTTAATTTAATAAATACAACGTTCATTAACTGGTCTTTATGTGTTTATTTACTGACTTCTATCGTTCATTTACTAGATATTTCGCTTATTCGCCGAAAATTGAAATTTGTGAAACCGTATTATTTTATTTTTGTGTCTAGGTAATATTTTCTTAATTTTTCAATTATAGATAGTTGCCTTTGTACCAGTTTTACCCAATATTATATAAAATAAAAAATCGTGATTTATTTAAAGTTAATACTTCGGTTAACTGTTCATTCACTAGTCGATTGACCCTACGCGCTAATAATCTAGTTGGCGAAAATTTGGAATTTTATGTTTTATTTTATTTAGATTTATTGGATCACAATTTCCTCATGAGGTAACGTAAAATCAAAAGCCTTAATATTTCTTCCAAATAAAACACCTAATACACCACAATAAACCAAAACACTTTACTTTTGCACTGGATGCGAGCGTTTCGCTAACTGGTGGTAATGATAAATGTTAGCATTACCAGCACATGATTAAAACTGTTATTAGCTACGCGCCTCCAGTGCAAAAGTAAAATTTTCTGTGAGCTTGCAGCTCTAATATCATTACATAGTCAGCAATAATTTTTAAATTTTCAAACATGTCTTAATTTACAGGCATCTATATATTTATGTAATTTTTACATAATGAAAAAAAATGTTACCTAATAGCATAATGCATAGGAGGATTTGATTGTTCGTCTTGTCCATTTAGAATTGTATATATATTATTTGCTTCTTTTTCTTTTAAGTGGTCCATTATTATCTTATAACAGCTTTGAAATTTATGATCTTTCCTATCAAAATGTTTCAAAATACTACATAATACTTCAGTGTTTACTACAGCACCCCTCTCTAAAAGAGGTATAATTTTCTCATCCTCACCATGTTTTGCTACTTCCATAATCTGAAAATAACAACTTAATATTTAAATGACCTGAATTTCTGTAACATTATGATTAATTTGTATAAGAGTGTTTTTATTTAAGTGAAATATTATATTTATTTCAGTAATATTTTGCACATGCTTTTATCAAACAGCTTATATCTTAAATTAACCAAATTTGAATAATTGGTAGAGAAAACCCGTCTTTGAAGAGAAATTCATGTCGCGTAGTGAACTGAGATAGTGATGGGTACATACAATGTTGTGAACACATGCGTTTATATATTAAAACAGGAATCAAATTATAAAAGCCGTTTATTCATGGAAATGTGTTTTATAAATATAAATAAAAAAATCTATTAATTTTAAGCCCGACACAAACCAGTTAAACACAATATATTGCAATTTTTTAAAACATGTAAACTAAAAGCAGTAATGAACTGATATCTTTTCTCTTTCTTTTTGTTTTGTCCAAATTTATAACTATGTTGTCTTACTGTTTGTTAGTTTTATCTAATATATTTATAAATTTTTCTCCGTTTCATTGTAAGTTAACAAGCATGTAGTGTACTACATGCCTATTACGTCTGCTTTGTTAAATTTTATAAATGAAACTTGACTATTAGTGTAATGAATGTTTATATTGAAAGATACGACTGACTTTTAGTTTTGTAAGTATAACATTGTGTATTTTGGTCGATACTTTCATATGACATTATTTTTGATTTTGTATTATATCTCCTGAGGAAGTAAATAAAGATTTACAAAATATTGAGACATAAACAAATAAGTTTTGAGTCACTGACCGCTAACCTGAAAATAATCCCATCTGTTATAATATTATGTTTTGTAATTCTAAAATAGAAGGCCACAATCATAAAAAATATATGAAGTAGCGTTGCCTTGGTTTTAGGTAATTTTGTCAATGTATTGTAAAAGTATATTTTAGAAAATATAGTTGATAGTTCTTGAAGTTCTTTAATACATAACATAAATTGGCGACGAGTAGTGGTCGTAAAGTTAGAAGTGAAGATTCAGTTTTGCATATATAATTTAAAAAAAGGCATTAATTGGATCTATCGAAAAATTTAACCCAAATGAAACCGAAGTAACAACTTATATTTGAGAGATTGGAACAACTATTTGTCTGCAGTGTTGTAAAGAACGAAAAAAAATTGCTCTAATTTTAACTTTCACTGGTGGAGAAGCTTATGTCTCTTGAAGCTTATGGTCTCTTGAAAGACTTGTTATGACCTGAACTTCCTAGTAAAAAAATATATGAAGAACTTAAAAAATGTCTAATAGAATACCATAGCCCATAGCGACTAGTTATAGCCGAACGCTATAAATTCTATAATACTATACAAGAAGGGAGTGAATATGTAAAAACATTTGACACCAAGTTAAAAAGTCTTGCTCAATATTGTCAGTTTGGTCAATTCTTGTCAGAATGCTTAAGAGATAGATTAGTATGTGGAGTTAGATCTCAATCAATTAAAAGAAAGCTTTTGTCTGAAGAAAAGCTAACTTTTGAAAGTTCCTACAAAACTGCATCGTCCATGGAATTTGGTAGAGAGTCAAGTAAGGTCAATGGAGTCAGAAACTAGTACAATGTCAGTATACGAGAGTTTGGATAAACTTTCTGTGAAGAAGAAGTTTCCTAAAAATGAATTTAAATCTAAGGAAAAGATAGAGTGGAAGAAATCGTGTTTTAGGTGTACAAGAAAGCATGAACCTGAGAAGTGTCCTGTTGGGAATATTTAAAATGTAAGAAAAATGGCCATTCAAGCAAGGTTTGTAAGAGTTCAAGTGTGAATTCAGTTAAAGAAGCCACAGAAGATTAGTCAGATCAAGAAGATGAAAACTTACTTTCATTGGGCTTTCTTTCAAAGTTAGATTCAGGGACAGATGGTCCTGAAAAGGTATTTCTTAAAATAGAAGGTAAAGGAATTTGTTTTGAGATTGACAGTGGCGCTTGTCTGTTATTCATATAAAAAATTTTAATAAGTATATGCCTAGGTTAAATATTAATCATGTCAATTATGATTTAAGAGTTCTCACAGGGGAAGAAGTAACTATTATAGGTGAATGTTATGTAAATGCACAACATAGTAAAATTGTCAAATTGCCATTAGTTGTATTGAAAACTTCAAGGTCAAAACTGGTTAAATGTCTTAAACCCACAGTGAAAGAGAAAAAATAATCTTAAATACAACTATCAAGAACAATCAAGATAATAAGGTAAAATCTAATGAATTAAAAGTTAACTTAAATTCTAATCTATACTAATATATAAAATCCTTAAGTGACTGACTCACTGAATAATCACGATCCTGCTCAAACCACTCAACATAAGAAGCTCAGTTTTGGAATACAGGTTGATTCTAGGGTGTAGAGTTTCGATAAGAAGGGATTTTTCGAAATTCCAGTTCCAACGGGGTGAAATCACCCCTCAAATATTACAATATTTTTTATTTAAAAAACGGTCAAGTTTCCGAAAAAACGCTGTCGGGTCTACGATGCTGACACCAACTCTGGCAGCTTTTCGATTTCCCGTCGAGTGTTGTAGACTGAACAGTAGTACACAATTGTTTGGACAGTAAATTGAAAGACGAACTATTAATTTAATCACTTAACTACTTTATTTAATTAACTTATAACTTAGGTACTAAAACAACAATAAAATGAAAAATAAAGAATAAAAAAAATAAATTAAGTGTGTTGCGTCTTAAGTCTGATTCGTGTGTGTGTTATATAAAGTCGCAACCACCCTCTCCAGTCCTACACGTATTGTAATACAACGTTGCCGTTGGGCATTTTATGTCTTGACTTAATTTTTCCATAATCATTAAATTATGTTGGACGCAACATAGCCGCCCTCCTTGAAACTTCGTAGTTTCAAAAAAAAATTAAATATAAAGAACACTAATAACGCTACAATCTATAAGAGTAAATATGTATATAACATTACATATCTTGACTTCAACTACATAACATTAATCAAATCTAGACTACATAGTAATTCTACAGAACTCTCAATAATAATTACAAAGGATGTCTCGTATACTGCGGTAACATTAATCATACCATACATGGGTAATAAACTGATTTTTGTTATAGCCCGTTTAAGCACGGCATTTTTCACCTTGAGACTAACAACGCGCACATGCCCATCAGGACCTGGATGCACTTCCACAATTCTGCCGCGTTTCCAAACTAACGGCGCGTTGTCATCGTGGAGAAGCACACATCGACCAACCTAGTAATGGTCACTAGGAATTTGCCACTTGGAACGTTCTTGGAGATTGTGTAGGTAGCTGCGGCACCAGCCTCTCCAAAATTGCTCGAATAAAGCCCGCAAACGCTTATAATGTGACAGCAGATTGCGATGTTTTGCTTCATCAGGATTCTCCGTAAGCGCCAGTAGGGACGAATCAACTAACAAATGTCCCGGAGTCAAAGTTTCATAATCCTCGGGGTCTTCTGTGAGTGGTGTCAAAGGTCGCGAATTTACTATAGATTCGATTTGCACCAGCAAAGAATAAAGGTTTTCATAGGTTAGCAAGACGTTCTGTATAACACGCTTTAAGTGATATTTGGTTAGACGCACAGCGTTCTCCCACAAACCCCCATGATGCGGTGACCGCGGTGGTATAAAGTGCCATATAATGCGATTTTCGCATAAAAAATTTTGAAATGTTTCGTCTCTAACTCCATTAATGATATTACATGTCCCTATGAAGTTAGTCGCGTTATCGGAATACATGTGGGCTGCGAGACCCCTCCGAGCAATGAGTCTCTTAAATGCGCATAAGAAACTGTTGGTAGACAACTCAGTTACTAACTCTATGTGTATAGCCTTTGAGAACATACATATAAAGATGCAGATCCATGCTTTAATAGATATAGTGTTTCTTAAATAACTGTTTTTGATCACATAAGGATCGCAATAGTCGACACCACATTCTAAAAAAGATCGAGTTGGCCGCACCCTAGCTGCCGGCAGATCACCCACTTTTTGTGTACCTGTATGCGGGGATATCTGGAAACAAATCACACATTTTCTCAAAATACTCTTAACAGTGTTTCTCCCTCGAATAGGCCAATAGTTTTGCCGAATGATTGATAGTAACATCTGTGGGCCGGCATGCAAATTCTTAAAATGAAGATGCCTAATTATTAAAGAAGTTAAAGTACATTTTGAAGGCAGAACAATGTGGTGTTTAGAATCAAACGGTATGTCGGCGTTTTTTAACCGACCTCCTACTCTAATTAGACCATTTTCATCTAGAAAAGGACTTAACCGAAATAATTTACTTTTGCGAGTAACCACATTAAACCTTTGTAGGTCATTTATTTCGACATTGAAAAATCTTTGTTGAAAATGTTTAATTATAATCAAACGTGCGGACTCTACTTCAGCTATGGTAATTCTACCCAGAAGTCTCGTTTCCTTTGATTGGCATTTAGAGTTATGTTTAAAACGTAAGATATATGCAATAACATTAACTAATTTATTAAGCGTTGAATATTTTGTAAATAAGGTATTGTCTTGACGCACCTGTACAGTTAAAATTTTCCTTGATTCGGGTTTTAAATCAGGTATCTCGATGTTCGATAAATTAGTTGACAAAGCAGGCCAATTTTCCTCAGAATGCCATAAAAATTCTGGACCTTGGAACCATGAATTTAATTTTTTCAGTTCCTCTGGGTCAACACCCCTTGATACATAGTCCGCAGGGTTTACTGTAGTGGGTACATGACGCCATTGGTCAACTTGGGAAGCGGTTTGAATTTTTGCAAAGCGATTGGCTACAAAGGTTTTGAGCTTATTAGACTCAGACTTACTTGACTCTACTGGGATCGCTAATCGACAACAGCGGCTCAT